GCGTCTGCGCGGCATTACTCAAACCGAAAGGTAAAACTGCAAAAAAAAATGTACCTCTACCAGGCACTGAAAAGCTACATTTCTCCGAGGATTCCAGATCCAAGGGAATTTGCCAAAAACTGTGTCTCAAATCCACACTAGATATATACTTTGCGTCTCTCAATAGGCTCAATATTCTGTCGACGTAAGGTAAAATGTAAGCGTCTGGCTTAGTTAATTCATTCAGTTTTCTCCCATCAAAAACAAATCTATACTCATTCCCTTTAGGCTTCTTTACTAGAAAGACGGCACTATTCCAAGCACTTTGAGATGGTTTGACTACCCCCAGCCTTAATATTTCGTCTAGCTCTTTGTTTAGATGTTCGAGCATGTATGGTGACATTAAATACTGACGCTGTTTAAAAGTCTTATAATCACCTGTATCTATGTGATGTATTAACTTATTTGTACGACCAAGACCTTTTTCTGAACTGATTTCATTAAAAGAAGTAACGACTCTCTGTTTGATTACTTCTTCAGGAGGTGTTAAAATGTTATTATCAATTGAACTAACTTCTAATTTAGATACTGAATTTATAGAGATATTATCGTTAAATTTTATATTAAATGAATTATTACTAAAGTTAATTGTTAAACCAAAAATTTTACAGAAGTCACTACCAAAGATAAAGTCGTGCTGAAGGGATGGAACTATCAAAACCTTAATGATGTTAAAAGCGTTTTCAAGGTGAATTGGTAAGTAAGCATAACCACAAATCCGCTGTTTTGCGCCATCGGCAGTGATTACGTACTTAGTACTTGAAAAATAAAATTTGACTTTATTCCTTCTCAACAGTTTCAAACCTGAGTTACCCACTACACTCTAATTACAGCCAGAGTCCAACAACACAGTAATATCTTGGTCATACAAAGAAGCAATAATATAGGGTCTATTATCATTTAATTTATTGGCTAACATGGGAGAAACCTGAGGGGTATTGAGAGACACAAAGTAAAAATCCTTCACAGTTTGAAGCCATTGCTTCCAGTCATTAATATCAAAAAGTTTTGCCTTTCCAGAACTGACGTTTTCAAATTTAGGTAACTTAACAGTATCAAGGTTATTGGGCGATAAACGGGAATTCCTGTGCTTGCCGAAGGAACAGGTACCCTCTATACGTTTTTTGGATTTGGTAGAGCATTTTTGTTTGAGCACTTGGGACATGAACGGACTGTATGATCCTTAATACCACATTTGAAACAGAACTTATTACGAGGATTTCGACCTTTGGCATTGCAGTTAAAACATGTCACTCCAGATGACTTAAACTTTGTAATAAATTTACTAGTATTTCCACTATCAGGGTTTGACGACAAACTATCATCAACGTATGCCAACACTGGCTCAAGCAAATTTTTTGATTTAACTGGAGTAACGTAGCTCTTTCTTAACTGAAACGCTTCGTCAATCTTTTTGCATAGGGTAATTAAATGGTCTAGGTCGTTAACGTCCTGCAAGGCCAAGGCCGATATGTAATGAGGCAAAAGATTGTGTTTAATAATCTTTAATTTAGTTACGTCGGCAGGTTGATTTTCCAAATGGCCGAAAAGACTCTCCATAATCGAAATATACACAATGGCTGACTCATTCCGTCCTTGTTTTCGCGCCTTTATCTCATCCCACAGCTTGTCGTTGTAATCAGAAGGTAAATAATCAGATCTCAGCTTCTTTACAAGGTCATCCCAGTTGTTTAAATGTTTCTTCACACATCTGAACCAAATGAGCGCGCTGTCAGAAAACAGCTCAATTGCTGAATTAAACAAAAGAGTCTTATCTATATTTCGGGCTACGGATAATTCCTCTACCCTATCGAGAAATGAATTTACAGAGATGGAAACCCCATTAAATTTTAAATTCCATTTATAAACTGAAACTGAGCTTTTACTACTACAAGCTATAGGCTGAGATATTGACGTATTTTGGCAACAAGAGGTACTAGGCGATTTTACTGTAGAATTAAAAACTTCAGCAGTTTCTGGAGTGACCTTTTCTTCCAGTTCAGTTTCCAACTCTATGCAAGTGGCATGAGACTCGCTTTTGTACTCTAACGCGTCTTTATCCCCTTCTGGAACTACAATCCTGCCAATACGGCCAGCAATATGTAATAAGCGCGTCTCAATTCTCTTATACATAGAGTCAGAAGTTGGACCTTCAAAATCGGAGACTAAAGCCTTAAGAGCATCAAGGGTGGAATCAATAAAAGTTTTCTCTGCGTCGAAATTATATAGAGGGTCAACCAGTACTGCGTCTGCGTCAGTTTTTTTTAAGAGCCTAGTCAAAATCTTACGCTTTTCTGCAGCGTCTTTCTTAGAAGATTCACAGCCGCGAGTTAAGAACTCATAGTTAATTTCGTCAGCTAAAAGATAGTTAGGCCTCATTGCAGCCATCGTAAGAGTGTGTATATTTTTATTGCAGAAGAACGAAATATAAAATATAAAAAAAAATAAAATATTAACAATTTAAATTTAAGACCCCCAAGTGTTCAAACAATTTGCGCAGGGTAAGGTAAAAGCTGAGTTGTTGCAGAGAGAGAGAGAGAGAGAGAAATTAAAACGGAAAGATAAATTGCACTAGTGTACAAGTAAGCTATAAAAATACCACGTAAAAGACTTAAAGAAATTTTTACGCGGGTAAGGCAGTATAAAATAAGGTAAGGTAATGTCAATAATATTAATAAGATAGTCTAAGATAAGGTAAAATTATACTCTAGGTATAATTGTCACAGTTTGCTTACTATACTTCTTGCATAGCAGCATTACAGGTAATATACTTCGCGTATAATGTTTCAAAGTCAAGATAATATAAAATTCAAAAGGTACTTGGGAGACAAAACTGAATTCCTCATAAAGATTCACCCCAATTTAAAAATTTAACCAAGGTATTAAAATTTTTTTTACCAGGAACAATACTTTTATATTATTTATATTAAAAGTTTATCAAAGGAACAGGAACAACACTTTATGTAAATTGATTATTATTGTTTTAAAAAAAATATAAGTTGTTGTTTACTTCCAAAACCATATGCTCAAGGTCAAAAACCGAAATTCCTCCTTTACTTTAAAAAAAAAAATTTTTTAGAAATTTTTTTTTATATTTGAAATAAATTTTAATGTTGAATTTAAAGGGTTTAAGAATTAACTAAATGTTAAAACACGTTGGGCGCCATTTGTGGCGTTGAGGTTTTTGTTGGTACCTACTTTTGCGAACGGCTACTCATGTTATAAACCTTGCGGAGAGCTAGGTTTAGTGGGTCCATATGGTTTTAAAAAGTCAACAATAATCAATCATGCCATCGACCAACTGTAAATTATTAGTATTTAATTATTGCAAATTGAATTGAATATCAAACCCAGTAAGTACAGATTGGCAATGCATAATCTTAACTATTAACAGATGCAGATAATCTAGTCAAGTGTCGTTTCAAGGTAAAAATGTTTAAACAAAATACTTTATGAATTTATTATAAAAATATGAAAACAACGGTTAACTTTGGCTAAAAATAGTAGCATAAAATGTGCATGCTACAGTGCACTTCTCAAATATTTTTAGATAAACACCGTTTTGGTGTTTGCTATATAAAACATTTTCAACCATAATTAATGGTGTTGTACACCACTTGGTGTTTGATTTTGACACCATTTTAAGAATACTCTTCACACCACAGATATTTTAAACAGTGTAACAACTGACCCTGTCATAAAATTAACTAGGAGAAAAACAAAATGCGTTAAACACGAACTTAACGAAGAAGTTAAAAAAATATTAGTAGGTTAAAGGTAAATATTTTATTGAATATTATAAGATTAAAATTGTAAACAAATTTGTATTTTTACTTTTAATCTATTAATAATTCATAACTATTGATATTAATTTTTAAACTATTTGTAATCTTTTATAATTTTTTTAAAATGATTTAATTATATTTTAGTTAGTACTCACGTGTAAGGTTTTTGACATTTGCTCTATAATACATATTCACACAGTAGCATAAATTTAAAAAATATATTTTTTAAATTTATGCTACTATGCGAATAGTTAAATTCCTTTAAGGCGCACAACACTTAAAAGTCCAAACATTTTTTCTAATTAACCGACTTAATAAATAATTAAAAAGGTGAAAATAATTGAGAACCCTATAAGGTTCTCAATTATTTCTATAGAAGACAAGGGGTACTTATAAGTAGGTACATTTTGTTTAGTTCTGAGATAATCATGTTTAAAGTAAAACAAACACTTCATTTGGAGTCAAAATTGTTTGTTGTTTTATGACTTTGTTTTTCAACATGTCTAATCTTAGAATTCAGTTATATTCCTTCGATACGAAGTAAAATGTACCATTTACTATCTTTTTCTGTACATAACTACATTTTTTTTAAATGTCACTTGTATCCCTTGGCTTCTATGGTCCTCAATTGAGATGTACAAAATAATACCTATGTACCTATCTACTATATTTTTAAAGTCAGTGCCAAGCAATTATATGATAGTTATTATTAAATAAAAAGAAATAACTTTAAGTATGAATTAAACGTAATTAATATTGAATGTTAATGTCTTCAATAAAAAATTTTACACTCTAAATAGCATTTTATCGATAATATCTTGAGTCAAGATTCTTGACGTCAAAACTTTAGATCAAAATACAAGTGAAAATAATAGGACCTTTTATTATTATGGCCGCTTGCAAAATTTAAGCAAATTCATTGGGACAATAATTGCTTAAAGATGTACTAAATACATCGTTAATCGATTTATATACGATGTTATCTTTAAAATATGTGGGATATTTTCAACCAAGATAAATAATAGTTACCATGGAAAAAAGGCCGTGGGATGGAGAAAATAAAAAAATACCGTGAATGGTTTATACAATAAAAACAACGAAAATCTCACTTCCTCTGTTAGAGCGTCGGGGCGCCGACGCCGGTATCGATTTGAGTTACAGCGTGAGTTTGTGAGTGTGGTGTTGCTGGATAGGGACGTTTTCTTGGTCCTCCTAATTCTACAGGTACGTAAAAACTAATAATTAATATTTAAAAATAAAATTTTATTGTGTAAATTATTTTACAAAGTTTTGCAATTATTTAAAGATTATTATCAATTTTAACTAATATTTTTATATTCATAATTAAATTTTGCATTTAATGTTAAGAGAATATATTGGATAATTTAGAAATTTTAGAAATATATTATATAATACAATCTTAAAAATAAACAAAAGATAGTACCATGTTTTAATTAACTCTTTAATATTAATTCTTCTTAATTATAAATCAATAAAATAATTATATCTACTAAAAAAATAATTTTATAAATATACTTTTGTAGTAGACACCTTTTTTGTTATAATAATGTTATTTATAATCGGTCTTCCTTAAACTTTTAGCATTAAAAATATTTATTAAATGCATGAACTGAGCATTTAAAAGTTGAGCCATGTTGATTTATGCTTTTGTTTAGTATTCTATACACTCTTTTAATAAGCAAGTTTAAAAACAACACAAAAACAATGCATGTTTTTTTAAATATATACTAACTTATTTATTGGTTTATTTAAACTAACCAATAATTATAATAATTTCCTTACATTAATGTATTTTTATAATTATTATTTGGGGCAGTATTTCTTTATTAAAATAATGTAGTTAATCGAATACATTTTGTATATTTGCTTACCGAAATCGAATCGAATGTGTTCTAAAATTTGTATCCAATATTTGTATTTGTAACTTTAATACGAACACAATCATCCTAAAAATATTGAAATAAAAATAAAGAAAAAAATATCATCAAAATTAAAGATATTTAAAAAAAAGCTGGAAATGTCAATGGGAATTAAAATTATTATTTATATACATTTATTATTATTATTATTATTATTATTATTATTATTATTATTATTATTATTATGTAAGTTTTTTAATATTTTAAAAAACTTTACATAACAATAATAATAATAAAAATAACAATAAATGTATTCAAGTATTCGAGTAAATAATAATGTTACGAACATATTCAAGAAATGAGGTTATAAAATTACAAATCCAGATAAAAATAAATAAACAATTAAAAAATTAATTAATTCAGTAAATTTAAAATAATAAATAAGTATACCTAAAATAATTTAAAATACATACATTTGAAATTTACTGAATAAATTAAAAAATTGAATAAAATGCATTTCTTATTAAGAATGCTTTTATACATCTACAAAAAGTTTTTACGGTTAAAGCTTTCTATTCAGTTATTATTAAACCAACTCTCTAAAAATGAAATAGTCAAAATTCTACTATTTGAATTGGTACCAGCATTTTTTACTAATAAATTGTCGTTTTCACTTTTAAATAAGTAATTTTTTACTACGTATATAGTTAAAGTTTGACTAGTTTAAGATTAGTCACCATCTTTGACTATTTCTGGGAGTTAAAAATAACTAATTTCTTTAATCGTTTGCGGCCAACAACAAAGTATTATTTGAATTAAATGCATAAACCTAAGCTCCATGGTTAAATGACCCATAAAAACAAATAAAAATGCAAAAAGTTTAGCTCAAAACAGCAACACAAATAATATATATATATAACTTTAAAATATTATGAACAATATTTATTGACAAATAAAATTGGTTTTCATAAAAGCGGCTAATGGCCGAATGGGTTATGACAACAGCTTGACAGGCTTGACAAGTGACAGACCTGAGTTCAATCCCCGGCTGGGTCAAAACTTTTTTTTAAATAAATCTACTAATTTGACTATTTTATTCAGTAGAACTTGACTAATTACACTGTAGGGAGGTGAAAATATCACAGCTAAGCGCTCAGACACGTAAACTTAATTTTTGGTCGTAGATTACAAATCCGTGCTTGGTTTAGCTGTATCAGGTCAAAATTCAAAGATATTGGAAACACCCTGTATAAATTTAAACACCCTGTATAATTTTTTTTTTAAATTAAATTTGGCGGGACTTACTTATCAGTTCCAAATTAAAAAAATAACAAATTTTTGCAAAATTTGAAGTTAATTGATCAAAATATACACGTGTCCCTAAGGGTTTTTCTTAGGTAATTTAGGAAATTTGAAATGTTTTTTTGCTGATATTTTTTTATTATGATTGAGGATATTGTATTAAGTATATTAAAATTATATTATTTTACAAATTATAATATACAGTATACAGTGTGTCCCCGGATCGGATTTCCAATAGGAAAAACTTTTTTAGACCTGATACAGCTAAACCGAGCACGAATGTACGACCAAAAATTATGTTTACGTGTCCGAGCGTTTAGCTGTGATATTTCAAAAATTAAAAATTTACTTACAGTGTTATTATAATACAGGGTGTCCAGAAAGGGTAGGGGGTATTTGTAAATTCAATAAAAATAAAACTGCAAGTCAGACAAAAATATTTTTTTTTTGAATTTTTAGACTAAGTTTTGGAAAATGAAGTCCCAAAGATTTTGTTGTCCAAATGTTGACCCTCGCGCTGCTGGCATTCCTCTAACCGAAAACGGGAATTAACTATCACGCGTCTACTCATATCTCTAAAAACAACGGCCATTTCGTTGCGGATGTTGTGCTTTAATTGCAGGAAAGTTCCTGGTCTATTATCATAAACTTTCTCTTTAAGGTATACCCATAAAAATAATCAAGTGATGAAGGAATCATTGGGCCTTACATTTTTGAAAACCGATGAGGGCTAGTACTTACGGTAAACAGGTTAACCGTTCACTGCAGTGAACGGTATTGCGACAAGTTAAAGGAACTTTTTGATTCCACAACTGCAGAAGTTTGAAGGTTTTAATGTGGAAACATGGTTTCAACAAGATGGGGCCCTTTGCCACCCCTTAAATCAGTCACTTGAGGTTTTCAATCAAATTTTCCCGAAAAAACTGATCTCTCGACGTGGCACCATTAACTGGCTTCCGAGAAGCGTATCTTACACCATTTGATTATTTTTTTATGAGGAAACCTTAGAGATAAAGTTTATAAAAACATACCACGAATTTTCCTGCAATTGAATCACAAGATCCGCACCGAAATGGCCGCTGTTTACAGAGATATGTGTAGACGAGCAAGACATTTGGACAACAAAATCTTTGGCACTTAATTTTCCAAAACTTTGTCTAAAAAAAAAAAACTTACAAATACCCCATACCTTTTCTGGACACCCTGTATATAGTAACTGCTTTTCTCTATGACAATTAGTCAAATATGACTTATAATTAGTTATTTTTGACTAATTCATTTTAAGAGAGCATATAAAACGGATTTGATTTATGACGATCATATTGCAAATTATATAGTTTAAATATTTAAATATATCAATATTATATTTTACTAATTTTAAGATCTTATATATATATAAATACAGGGCACATTTAAAATAGATTTTTAATAAAAATACTTGTAAAAAATTTATTAAAACTCTAATCAAACGGTGCAGGTTATTGCATAAAAAAAACTTTATCAACATTTGTTAAATAAAATAACCTCTACACAAAATACCATATTTTATGTATGATTCAAAATTTAAGAAGTAAAAAGTCTTTTGAGTGCATAGCAATTACTTTAACATTTTTTGCAAAGATAGTACATGTGAACTTTCCAAAGATTGACATAAACTCATAGCATTTTAAAACCTGACACTTCGGCAATACTTTTATTATTAAGTTTAATTAGCAGACTATGTAAGGTTTTAGGCAATGTATCACCGGGGAATAATTTATAAGTGAGCCCGATAAAGTTTAAATTTATGTTTCTTGAAAATCCTTTGGTAACGGCTTTTGCTCACATCCGTCGGTACAGCTATTTTTAGAAACTTTCACCTCGTTTCTTACCTTCTTCAATGGCACACTGTCTAGAGATCTGGGCTTGGCCAATGATCCATGATTCATCAAGGTGTTTTCCAATCTAGGAAATATTTGGGCGCTCTGGGTACCCGGGTATCGTTCGAAATATAAATCTATTGCAGCTTCCGGATTTCGGCCTAATTCAATGAGGAATATGGGCAATTCTTCAGAAATAGGCAATCCGGAAAAAAATATTTACTGCTATCGTAAAATTGTTTTAAACATGTTGTAACAATGATTACATGATTTTAATTAGTTTCGGCCATAGATATTGGAGAAAGGATAGTCGACTCACTTGAAAAAAAGTGAATAGTAATATTATCAAAGAAAATAGAGAAATGTCTGGACATAGTGCGTTTTTATTAAACTTAATATTGAAATTTTTTTTATAATAAACTGCGCACCACTCAATGTGTCGCGAGCAAAAAGTTCGTTCTTTTTCAAAACGACATAACTTTTTTGTTTCTTAAACGATTTAATTTTGGTTTGTGATGTCTGCTAGCCTCATCCTCTGGTAATTTATGCTATAGATATGAAGCTCACGGTTGGTCAAGTAAACTTCCTACAGGGTGATATGTTAAACGGTGAAAAATTTCAATAACTTTATCCAAGCCACGTTTGTAAAAAAATATTTTTTTTTTCGTTCTTACTTTGAAATAATGAATAATTATGTATTACCTTGAAACGTTTTTCAAATTTTTTCCAATTGGAATCTTAGCAACGAAAATATGATTTTTTTTCCAAAAGAGTACATTTAAGGCTTTTTTTTTTAGGTAATACACTCAGTCTTTTTGGGAACAAGAAGATAAGATGGTGAAAGATTGTTCCTTAAATAATTCTGAAGAAGCGACAAGCAACAAACAGTTGTCAAATATAAGTTTCAGATAAAACCAAAATCACTACGAATCAAGATTCGAAAACAATTCCCGGCTGTCCGATTGCTGGTTTTTAATGTTTTTTTACATATCGTAAGTAAATTTAAGGGACCACCATATTGAGAAAATGAATGGGCCACCTTTGTCTCCGGATATGAATCCTATTGAGCATGTGTGGAGCAGGATTGAAGATGAAAGAGAGGGAAGGAGGCATGGAAAATTTAGATGAATTGGTAAATGCTATTCAGGAAGAATGGGGTATCCCAGAAATTTCTAAGGAACTT